TGCTCTTATTAGATAATGGCTTTCAAAGTGAAGTGTAGTTTTTTTTTTGTTTTTTTTTTTTTTTTTTTTTTGTAGATGTTCCATGTATGGCTGTTATTAAACAATGGACGGTACCTGAATTTGCTGAAATTTGAGTCATAATGTCGGTAGTATTTTCGTTTATAAATTATACGCCCGTGCGTTGAATACTGCTGCCATAGGTAATTCAACTCGAGCATCTTGGCAAAATACAAAGTATCAGTAATGTATTCGATCTTGGCATCTCGAGTTCAATCGATCCTGACTCGACTTCAGTCACTTTCTCACCGACGTAACCTAGCTTCCCTCTGATTTTTTTCTACAAATATTTTCATGATAACTACACTGACGAGCTTTTTTCTGTGTTGGCCTGACTACTTGAATTGAAGAGTTTTTTTACTGATGAAATAGTTAAATGCAATTGCCACTTCTGCTCCAACAATTTCGTTTCTTGCACTTCCCAATCTTTGGAATTCCATTCGGTTTACTTATTTCCTTATTAACTACAATCTTCAAAAATGTAAATGCAACGTTTATCGCCATCTTCTATCTTTTTGAACCCTGTTCAGGTTTTATTCTTTCCTCGATCCCCTTATATTTCAGTCTTTTCTCTCAATTTCATTCTCCGTAGCCCACACTCTTCGCATTAGTGGCATCCCTGCCTTGCTTGGAGTGAATGATTTTAATAATTGTAAAATTTTTACAGATTTCTCTATTGCAAAATTTAAAAACTTAACGTTATTTTACACCTTACTTATGTTTATAAATACATATTCATAAATAATATTCCTGTATTTGCCTTGATCAAAATGCATTGTCATAAAACTTTCCTTTGTCTTTTATATATATATATATATATATATATATATATATATATATATATATACGTATATATATATATATATATATATATATATATATATATATATATATATATATATACGTATATATATACATACATATATATATATATATATATACATATATATACGTATATATATACATATATATATATATATATATATATATATATATATATATATATATATATGAATAAGGTATATTTAGACAGCAAGTATTCATCAAAGTTTGATTAAAGCACAACAGACTGTCGGTTTAAGTTTTATTGCACTTTTCCAATGTAAAGAATAGGTATTGAGTTTTGTGCTCGAAGGTGTGGCTAAACTGATAAAAAGTTCATATTTTCGTTCAAGTACTTTCGACTTTCGCAGTCATCATGAAGAACCGATATGGTGTCTGTATGGAAGCTAGAATTCCTACGTCTGCATCCTAGTGTTATTCACAATTTCGTGAACAATACTCAAGACCTTATCCAAAAATTAGAAAAATACAATAGAAAATTAAATAGACAGAACTTTTAATCAAACTTTTTTATAATCAAATATATATTTATATATATATATATATATATATATATATATATATATATATATATATATATATTATGTTTTTGACATAGATAGATAGATAGATAGATAGATAGATAGATAGATAGATAGATAGATAGATAGATAGATATCCAATTTGTAATTAGCAGAAATAATTCCAAGGATGACATTAATCCAATGACAGCACAATGTAAGTTACAGAGTAAGTTTTGTATATCTGTCTGGATGTAGTGATTACATTTCTTGAATTTTTGGGTTTGAAGAGATGAATTTTTGGGTTTGAAGAGATGAATATATTCATGGAATAAATTATAACCGATAATGGATTTTTAGGTGTTTTCTTAATCTATCATTACATATATATATATATATATATATATATACATATATATATATATATATATATATATATATATATATATATATATATATAGTGAGAGTGAAAAAGAGGGTTTCAGCCAATTGCAATAACACTGTATACTGTAGTACAATATTTCCCTCATTTAACATTTCCAGATTTTATGTATGGAGGACCCTAAGGGATATATATCGCAGGGAACTGACTACATTGTGACCCTTAGACAAGAAATTGAAAATGCTTGTGCAGCAATGTTACTGGATAATTTGGCCAACGTTGTCCAAGCACTAGATCACCGTACTAATAAATGCCAGGAAAATAAAGACCATGCTTTTGAGAATCTCTTGTGTTTGTAGATTTCAAAGTTAACGTGTATTGATCTCCTGATGTCTGAATAAATTTACTATAACAACATATATACAAGTTTTTTCGCTTTCTGGAGTGTGTATACATCTTTTTTTTTTTTTTTGGAAGGCTTTTTGCTCCCGTGTTCTTTTCTTTATCAATCTATCAATAACTCCTTCTCTCAGTCACCCCTTTTTTCTTCTTTTATGTTTATATATCTCTCTAGACACACAAACAATATCTATATATATATATATATATATATATATATATATATATATATATATATATATATATATATAATCTGAAGTGAAAGGAAAGGTAAGAAGGAATGAGAGAAAAAGTGAGAATAAATTGATGGAAGAAAATCGTTTATTTAACTACAAATATTTAACTTTCAACAATATTTCTTGTCAGTGCCCTTTGCTTTTAACAGCGTATAAGGTTGCATACGTATGCATACATACATACGTACATATATATATATATATATATATATATATATATATATATATATATATATATATATATATATATGCGTGCATGTATGTGTGTTTTAGTACGTAACTTCGTGCGTGGGCGAACATGTATATTAATGAGAAGAATAACAAATAAAAGGCTAAACGAATGAAAAAGTGAATGACTGAAAATGGTAAATTAGAACAGCCGTTAAGAAGATGAAAGCTGACCGATTTTGTATGCCGTATAACTCGAGCGGTAAAATATTTGTTGAATGGAAGTTGGAAATTAAAAGAACAACTATAAGAACAACAACAAAAACGAGAAAGAGAAAATGGATTTGAAACTTTGGTAACAGGTGGTAAGATTTTATTTGCCTCTGAATGTCATTGTAATTTTCCTTTGACATTCGCATATAACTGTGTGTGTGTGTGTGTGTGTGTGTGTGTGTGTGTGTGTGTGTGTGTGTGTGTGTGTGTGTGTGTGTGTGTGTGTGTGTGTGTGTGGATGTGTGTGTGTGTGTGCGTGTGTGTGTGTGGAGGATGTGTGTGTGTGTGTGTGGATGGATGTGTGTGTGTGTGTGTGGATGGATGTGTGTGTGTGTGTGTGTGAGGAAATGTGTGTGTGTGTGTGTGTGTGTGTGTGTGTGTGTGTGTGTGTGGAGGAATGTGTGTGTGTGTGTGTGTGTGTGCGTGCGCGCGCACGTGGCCGAAGGATTAGAACATTTGCTTCCTGACCTGGGTTCGAATTTCACCATGGTCGATTCGTCAGGTAGATAACTGTTATTGGCCGCAGCTTTGGAGAGTTCCTGTGAGTGAAATTGGATTTTATGGAACCCTTTGGAAGCCGTCGATGGTTGTCCTAGCACGAAGTCACTTGATCGAGTGTTTGATCGAAATGGTCTTGGTCAGATTGTTGATCATGCTAGAAAACGGATCATTCCACAAACTATGACAAGGCCCTGTGGGTGTTGAGCAAACACTAATGTTTCTGAGCAGACGTCTGCAACAGGGATTAGCTAGCCACCCTAGTACACAGGCAACCTCGGATACGAGTCGCCAACCCCATATATATATATATATATATATATATATATATATATATATATATATATATATATATATATATGAAGAAATATAGTCTTAAGATGTGCTATATTTATGGGATAAGTACTCAATATCAGAGATAGAGCGTGTGTAAATATAAAAGTGAACATAGAAGTCAACACTTAGAGGCGACAGTCTGTTTCATGCTAGATGCAATCGTGGCCTGACGATTGCATCTAGCATGAAACAGACTGTTGCCTCTAAGTTTTGATTTCTATGTTCACTTTTATATTTATATATATATATATATATTAACTGTATTTCTCGCTTGAAAAACCTCGGATGACTCAACTTGTAGACACCTGAGGGTAAATTGGTACCCGAGGAAAAAATTGGAAGTCAAAAAAGAAAGAACTAAAAACATCAGAACAAGGCGAAAAAAATCGTCAAGTGTCTCAAGTCCTTAGTCCAAAGAAAAAAAAACCCAACCGAGTATAAAGACAACGAAAAGGTACAGGGTTCAATACTCTAAGTAGAGCGGTAAATTAGAATAAATCCTAACGAGCCAGGCAAACCTACCTAGGTTTCACCTAAACGGATCTTCAGGGTAGACTGCGTAAAGTTGCGTATTAAAAACTAAAAGTGAATATTAATATCATATTTCCGATCTAGGGTGCCTGCAATAAGAGTATTCACTCAGACTAGAAAATGAAGGTGCCTCACTACTGTATTAAACGAGGCTAGGATTAGTAAGATCTAAATATTTATATATTTTTTAATTGTTTAGACAAATTATTTTAACAATTTTCAATTATAAATTTACTCCATTTTATTTTGTTTTTATCACATTGGGTCAACACACTGTGTATGCTTTAGGGGACTTTTTCTCAACCGATGCGCCGGGGTGTACTCATCCGCCATGAAAGCTAGCCAGGTGTGCCCCATGTTAACAAGAAAAAGTCATTTATAAATTCTTTTTATGTTTATAAAATCTTTATTTTTAAAAAGCTAGAGACACTAAAGACATCAAGTCTTTATCATTTGATAGTTTAAACTTAACCTTTAAGAAGGAGTGGATAATCCTTTCCCTTTGCCTTCCTCAGTGGATTTAAATCAGTCCTTATAAGACCTCTCCAAAAAAAAAATAGCAAATTCTTCATAATTTCCTTTAAGTGAAAACTGTACTGGTAATCCTCTTTGGGGAACGCTAAACCGAAAATGACAACCATAGTCATAGCTGGGGGTAGAAGATTAACACCTTTCTCAAGGATATTTGAGTGTAAGTAAATATAACGCGCACAATTGTAATTGGAACTCCACTCTCCGATTTACAATTTCGAGCCTTTATCCATTACACTAGCCGCACATCCAAGTATTCCCAAGCGGCTACGCATCTAAGTACTGACCAGGCTTGACGTTGCTTAACTTTTGTGATTGCATGAGAACCGGTGTTTCAACGCGATATGGCCATAAGCCTCTCATATAAATTGAATAACATCCACAACTGAATCATAGAATTTTGGTCTCATATTTTTGCATGTTTCTGAACACTGGCTTAGAAAAGGACTATCAGTGATGAGGTTACTCAGGCAATAGAGTTTATATATATATATATATATATATATATATATATATATATATATATATATATATATATATATCGAGAGAGAGAGATAGAGGAAGAGGGAATCGACATTAGCGCCCGATGTGTTTATACGGCTGTCAGTTATATCTTTGACATTTGTATTATAGTATACTAGAAGGTAGAAATCAATGAAAGACATGATGGTAAAACTATTTAATCAGCTGTACCAAAGCTGTTTCATTCGTAATGTGCAAAATGTCCTCTCTTGTTGTCAAGACACAACTGCAGCAGATCAGAAACAGAATGACATACACGCTCGTAATGTTTCCATATCAACTTCCTCAAACTTTGTATGAGGTTTGAGCCTTCGATTTCTGAATGGAAACTTGTCCATAATAAACAAGGTCTTTTCAATAGCCCCCAAAGAAAGAAAATTTATAAGCGTAGGTAGTGTAGGCGTGTTCAATCGGACCGCAACGCCCGATCTACTTTCAGGGAAATTTTTCATCATGACATTGAGAAAACAAAAATAAAGAAAATAAATACCGTATTGGCCGGCCTATTGGGCACACCTACGCATTAGATGCACGCAGATTTTTGGCATGGAATATTTACATGCCAACATCAAAAAAAAAAAAATGGTAACTTTACCTTTATGTAATATTCTCACTCACCATGAAGAAACACTTACAGTATTACCACAAATAATTAAACTGGTACTAAGTGAGGTAAGGTTTAATTACCAGGACATTTTTTTGGGAAAGAAGAATTTTAGTACATTTCATCATGTATTTATAGAAAATTGTTTTAGTTGTTTTTCTGGCAGAAACATCTGTACATACAGTAAATTCATATTAACTATAAATTAACTATATATCTAAGGGTATCAGTGAACACTGGTACATATGATAAGAGACAAAAAACACAGAGTACTTGTTAAATGAAGTCCCATATCATACATGCAGAAAAGCAAATTCCAGTAATTGTATATCAACATAAACACACACGAAGCAAGCGTCAATATAACAGTCAAAGCAATATTTCTGTAAAATCTGGTATTTCTACAAAACAAGCAGGGAATATTGTGCAATTCCATAAATTTCTTTTTCCTGTAGGAATTTTTAAGGGACATTTTTATTGATATCATGTTTGTTCACTTTGAGGAGTTCTAGTTTCAAATCTAAGATCTATGCGTACACTGATTCCTGGTGAACCCCACTTTATTCCTTTAGTGTTCATGTCCTTCCCATACATGATGCGGCTGTATTGTATGAAGGGGTCATTTTTGGTGCATTTTTAGGCGATAAGAATCCGCATCCAATAACCCGGCAAGAAATATTAACAACATGACTTTCTAATTATTTTTCACCCTGCAACCCGTTTCTCTCATCCTTCTAACGCTACTTCCATGGAAAGTGCTCGGACGAACTGCTTTCCTTGGTTAGTTAGTCATTTATCGAAAGATGCATGATCGCCTAAGCGTGTATCACGCATAGTACGTGATTAATTTGCACAAATATATATATATATATATATATATATATATATATATATATATATATATATATATATATAATTCCAATTCCAAGTTGTAACCTTCACGTAGTTCTTCCCACGAATCACTGTTCTGTGGAAATGACTCCCACGAGAATAATTCCCCGATCACTACAATCTCACCCTGGGCACCTCGATGTGGTTAGCAAGTTTGTCTCACTAGATGGCGCCATACTTCCGGTCTAGTGTTACATCAAAGCTACGCTTAGAAAATCATCATTACAATCTTAATATGTTCAAAACTAGGATTAACCTTTACCTTTCCCACCTATCCGCATAAAATGTCTCTCAGTCTGTAACCCTCTACATCGAGTGACCCTCGGGCTTTGAACTGGATGACCTTAACTGTAAATTTAAAAAAAAGTCCTAGAATCCTATTGCTATTTTTAACTCACCCTGTATTATGGATAACCTTGCTTCTTTTTAAATGTCATCTTTATATGCTTCTAAGTCTGCAATGAAGTAAGATAATGACTTTTTCTTATTTAATTGGGTAACGGAAGTAAAAATGAAAATCTACATTTATTAAGTTGTAATGTAGAGGAGGCACCGTGGAGTAATGGGTAGCGACTCGGGTTGAAGAATCGGAGAGCCGAGTTCGAATTCCAGACGAATATATTGCATTCACTTGCGTGCTAATGTGGTATGAATCCTATTCTTTTAAAAGCTACGGATACGGAACAGAATGACAACGTGCCTGGTTAGTCATTTATCGAAAGATGCATGATCGCCTAAGCGTGTATCACATAATGATGGCCCGTGACTAATTTGAACAAATATCTTTTTTCTAATATTCCAATTCCATATTTGTTTATCATGTCAAATGCTTACGAATATCCTGCTTAGAAATCCGTTAGCATTAACACTGCACTAAATTGTATTTGGAATTTTTCGTCCGATTTACTGTTATATAACGTTGGGGGTGATGACCTTCTCGGTCACTTGGCGCAAGCAACATAATGTAGAGATGCGGAAGTAATCAGGTTTGGCGAAAGGAGCGATTAAAACAATACGACTTCATTACTAATACCGCTTCCTTCATGGCGCAAAGTGAGAAGCGAGTTAATTACTAAAAGACTATCAGTAATGGCTGTTGGTATCAGAGTGTGATTGGTTGAGATTTGATTAAATAAGATTTCATTGTTTTACGCAATTATACGCCAGAAGGAATGTTGATGTTGACGTGCGCGGGAATAAAATAGTTTTAAAAAGATAGCAAATAGAAACTGTGGATCGCAAAGAGCCACACCAGAAGTTCTGTTTAGAGGAAAATCGTGTAATTATTTTATAAGAAAATCAGTACAAAGTCATATAAAAGTTGATCACTTTTCGGGAGATGCTTTATTGCAATATTTATAAATATTACCAAACGTTTTTAATTTTAGATGAACAAGTTTACAGGTACCGGCAAAAAAAAAAGTGGTAATAATGATCGACTATGTATTTAGGTTGTCTCACATGAAAAGACGCATTTTTTTCTCACATGAAAAGACGCATTTTTTTTTCTCACATGAAAAGACGCTTTTTTCTCAGATGAAAAGACGCATTTTTTTCTCACATGAAATGACGCATTTTTTTCTCACATGAAAAGACGCATTTTTTTTCTCACATGAAAAGACGCATTTTTTTTCTCACATGAAAAAACGCATTTTTTTTCTCACATGAAATGACGCAATTTTGGTTGGTTGTTGATCCGGTCGTCCAACGAAATTACCTCCTTAATATATAAAAAACATCTTGACTTCTTCCTGATTCTTTTTTCTTTCCAGATAATCTTTCTTTCAATATATTGTTACTCATAAACCCAATGAAAATGGTTACAATGAAACAATGTCGTGTAATCTTACTGTATGAGTACAAACTGGGAGAAAGAACCATTTTTGCATCGAATCATAACATGCGATGAGAAATGGATACTCTTTGACAACAGTAAGAGAGTCGGCCAGTGATTAGATGCAAGTGAATCACCAAAACAATACCCAAAACCTCCATTGCACACTAAAAAATTAATGGTTATTGTATGGTTGTCTTTCAAAGGGGTTATTCATTATTCATTCTTGCCTCAAGGGAAAACAATAACATAAACTTCGTATTGTGGTGAAATTGAGTGTATGCCCGAAAAATTTATAAAAGAAACATGCTAGATTTATGAATAGGGCTGTCCCAATTTTGCTGTACGACACCGCACGACCGAACACTTCTCAATCAACAGCCCAAAAGATGCATCACCTGAATTAGGAAATTTTGCCTCATCCTCCATATTCGCCTGATATTTGATTATTAATTATTTAAGAATGCTTTTCATATGCAATAAAACATTATCCAATAAGGAAGATGTAATCGAAGTACTTGAACTGTTTATTGCATCAAAGGATGATTTTTTTAAAGATGGAATCAAGAATTTAGAGTTACATTGGAGAACAGTCATTCATCAACATAGTGCCTATTTCAACTAAATAAATTAGTTATTTAACATTTCAAAAGAGATTTATTCATTTTCTATAAAAAGTGTCATTTCATCTGTGACAACTTAATAATATCATTCCTCCTATATGGCAGAGAATGATAGACAATTTCTTTTGAGATGAGGATGAGACTTAAGGCAACAGATTTAGTTCTTGGATAAATTCTAGACTGTAGAATATGCCCCCCCCCTCCTAAATGTTTACATGTCCACAAGCGTTTTAGGTTTTCTGGAAACCAGATTTTGGCTGTTACTTAGTAGTTTGCTGTGCACTGTTTATTTATTTATTTTTTATTTTTTTTCGTTGAGTGATTCGATGTTTTTTTTTTTTGTTTTGTTTTTTTCCGTGTTGATTGCTTGAACTAAGTCGATACTTGCCGACTATTTCACTGTTTGGTTCTTTTTCTACTCTTGATTTAGTTCCCCTATTAGGATAATGGTTTCTTGCGATATGCACTGACTTTTAGAATTGTCCCGTGTGTTATAAAATTGTATTTCTTCTTTCTAGCTTTGTGAAGTTGACGCATATAATGGCTATATTAAATGGCTTCCTTTTCAGTTTCATCAGAACTCTATCCGACAATTTCCAATATCGTAGAACACATTTACTTTGTCTACTATTAGTTCCATTCCTCTTTTATTTCTTTGCCCATCAGCATATAAGATTATTTGTCTGTCCATATATACGATTGTGTGAAGTCACTATTAATATGATATGCGGTTTCAATTTAGTATAAGTTCTTATGTAACATTTTGTCTTACCGTCTCTTATTCAACATAATTTTAGGTTCATCTCTCTTTATTACAACGCTAACTTCTAAAACATGGCTTCTTTTCAAATGAATATCGGTACTTTTCAAAGCAAACTAT